GGGGTGGGAATAGAGATTTTGCAATATCCTTTCCCAGGAGTAGGGAGGGAATGAGGATTTTGCAGTATCCTTCCCCCAGGAGTGGGGAAGAATGGAGATTTTGCAGTATTGTAGGAAGTTACACCCACCCCTTTCCTAGAGGAATGAAATATTTTGGGAAATATTAAAAAGGCAGAATATTATGTTTCCCTGGTTGACAAATGGAGAAGCATGTTTTAAAGACGAAGCAGCTCCCATCTTCCTGCCCCCACCTTTTGTCAATGGGCCAGAGGCAGAAACTCAATCTTTGTCAATGGACCATCATCTGCAACACAATAGGACCCATCTAGCAACAGAAACTAACACTATAGGACCCATCTAGCAACAGAAACTCACCACATGGCACCTGGGAAGATTACATCAACCAGCAAGGCTAGCTGAGACCCCCACCCCCTGGGAGTCTGACAACCAATCAGGATACTCTTTCTGGGCCCCAGGAAGTTCAAAGCCAGAGAGGGCATAAAACCTGGGGACTCGCTGCATCTTGCCCCTTTTCTGTTCAGGAACTCGAACCATGTGATCCTGTCCACCACCATTAAACCATCTTTCCAAGCAGTCTCCATGTTTCCAGTGTCTTTTTCCCCACTTGGAGCTGAACCCAGAAGGATATTTCTTCCAACAGTATCCTTCCCCTGGAGTTGGATGGGAATGGAGATTTTGCAGTATCCTTCCCTTGCTACGCCCACCAAGCCATACCATGCCCACCAAGCTATGCCCACAGAACCGGTAGTAAAAAAAATTGGATTTCACCACTGCTAAAAAGCCATTGCTTTAATGATAGGATCTGAAGTATACCAGCTCTATCAGATTTTATTGGGTGGGCAGAGACAATTGGAAAAAGGCAACTTTAGCCATTCATGTTCAGAGCCATGAAGGCTTTATAGGTGATAACCTGCCCTTGAATTGCACAAAGCAATGGCAGTAGGAGCAACAGTTGTCTTGCAGCTAATCTCTAGATTAAATATAGTAGCTTGCATAGAATAGCATGAGTTATTTGGTCACCTCTGCGACATATGATTAGCCAACATGCGCCAGGTACTCTCAGCAAGGAACATTGACTATGGCCTGACGTGACTAAAATTAGAAAATTAGCCTACACCTTTTCTCTGTTTTATTACAAAGCATTGGGTGAAAGGTGCTTGTTACATAATCTATAGGTGGGGAAGCTTATGGCAAACATCCAGCGTTGCCAACTAATCACTCCAGCAGATCTTTGGACCTTTGGCTGCCACTTGATGGAAAAAGAGCAGCAGGTCTCTATGTTGGAGACAGCAACACTAGTTGCTCTGCTCTCCTTCTATACCTGAGACAGTGTTTTTCAACTTCCCAATGTTAGAAGAAATATCCTTCTGGGTTCAGCTCCAAATGGGGAAAAAGACACTGGAAACATGGAGACTGCTTGGGAAGATGGTTTAATGGTGGACAGGATCACATGGTTTGAGTTCCTGAACAGAAAAAGGGCGAGATACAGCGAATCCCGAGGTTTTATGCTTTCTCTGGCTTTGAACTTTCTGGGGCCCAGAAAGAGTATCCTGATTGGTTGTCAGACTCCCAAGAGAGTGGGGGTCTTAGTTAGCCTTGCTGGCTGATGTAATCTTCCCAGGTGCCATGTGGTGAGTTTCTGTCCTAGATGGGTCCTATTGTGTTGCAGATTATGGCCTGTTAACAAAGGTTGAGTTTCTGCCTCTGGCCCATTGACAAAGGTGTGTGTGGGGGAGGCAGGAAGCTGCTTTGTCTTTAAAACATGCTTCTCCATTTCTCATCCAGGCAAACATAATATTCTGCCTTTTTAATATTTCCTAAAATATTTAATTCTTCCAGGAAAGGGGTGGGTGCTAACTTCTTACACCAATACTGGTTGCGGAATCCTGGGAATTGAAATGCATAGAGTGAAATGCATACTGGTCTGAAGTATTGGGTAAGGGCTTTTTTCATGGGGGCAATATAGCTATTTTTCTGACCACATCATTCATAATATGAAAAATAAAGCTTGTACATGAATTAAATACAGTATATCCCATATATCTTATGTTCTTCCTATAGAAACTCAAGCTGATAGGGCAGAGAAGTGGAAATCAAAAAAAGATTGACTGAAAATGGATGAGAATAGATGAATAAATTTCTCAAAACAGCTCTGCCCTTACTGCTCTGATTGTAAGAAAAATGAACTTGTAACAAAAATGGAATTCTCTGGCTCCTTCGATGGTGGGGAGGAAGAGGGAGGGAATTCCTCAACTTCAAATAAAAGCAGCAAAGCAAAAGTAAAAGTCTTGAAAGTTTGCGTGACTTCATATAACTCTTAGCCATCGCGTTGATCTTCTACTTCTACAACTCCGGCCCGCTTCCTACTGCGCCTGCTCGTGTTTATTATTTGGTTTCTAGGGTGTTCCGCAGGATACGTCACAGCGCCATGACGCTCAGCAGCCCGCAGAGACATTAGGAGCCGACGGCGTGACGGACGCTCTTCCGGTCGTGACCATATATGGAAGGGAAGGCACGTTCCTCTGCCGACGCTTGTTTCTCCCATGTTGTTGTGCGGGCACGCGTCGATGGTTCTCGCTCCGGGAAGGTTCCAGAATGGAACGGAGCTTAAGTAGAAATCGAGGGCGGCGGCGTGGAAGGGTGAATGGGGCAGTCTTGTCATTCTTCGTTAGCTCTAAATTGTTAGTTTCCTGCTTCTCCGAAGTTAAGAAGATGTGAGTGGACGGGAGTGTTTGCAGACTGTTGCATCAGCCTGCAAGGTCGGGGAGAGGTTTGGTAATGTTAAAGCAGGTAAATGCACTCTCGGTGCAATGGGCTGCAATTTTATGAACCTGCAGTTACAAACTCCTGATGTCGCGCATATATTAAAATACGGACGTTATTTTCCTTCTCCGTTTAGTGTTTTAAATGCATGTGTATTTTCCTTTCTTTCGTATGCTTTGAAATGATTTTCTTGGTCTGTGTTGTTCATTGCCTCTTCCTGTTATTTTTTTAAAGGGCATTTGATCCTCTATCTGAATACCATTCCTATAATCCACACGGGTAAACAAGTTCAGAGATCGGGAGTCTGGTACCACCTTCTCTAACAGATTCTGTTAAAGGCATAAGCTTTAGTGAGCAGCTCAGTTTAATTGGATCCTTTGAGCTGGCCTCGAAATGCAAAGAAGGCCAGGAAAGGCAGTCATTGCACCTTCTAGAATCTAGATGACCAGCGGGACAAAAAAATCCTCAGTGTACCCTCAAGCTGCAACTTGGTGCTTAGCATCACTCACAGTGGAATGGCTGCTGAATTGCCCCACCAAAGCTTTAACCCTCTTATTATTTAAAAACAACAATAACCAGGGAATTGCTGAGAAACTGCAGAAAAACATTCCTACCAATTAAAAAGCAGCTCCCCAGAAATGTCTCAAGGCTCCTGCAGGTCTGTTGGAAAACTGAGCCAGTTTGCTATAATGGTAAAAGCACCAGACTAGAAAGCTGGAGACCTGAGTTCTAGTCTTTCCTTAGCCATGAAGGCCAGCTGGGTGACCTTGGACCAGATACTGTCAGCTCAACTCACCTTTCAGGGTGGTTGTGGGGAAAATAGGAGGAAAGAGGATTAAATAAACATATTTTTAAAAAAGAACAAAGGCAGGATAAAAATAAAATTTAAAAACCCACAGGCGGTGTATTTCCAGTTGAATTGCATCAGAAGTTGGAAATTAATTAGACTCAGCTGCCAGACAGAAAAATAACTATGGGATCAGGAAGACACGAGCAGAACTATCGAGTCCTGAATTTGCATCAATATGCTTAGATTATACTTAGTTGTACCTCTCTGCCTCAAGCTGGCCAAGCGCTGCTGTGAAAGCCCTGTTCAGGGGTGTGGAGATTGTGGATCTGGATGGGAAGGAACAGGTTTCAACTCTGTCCTAACCAAACAGTAATTTAATGTTTTAGGGCTTCCTGCTGATTATCCATCTTTTGTTCTAGACAGTTGCAGTATCCAAACTAAACGGATAAACAATTTGACTATTTGAGGATCTTCCTGGTCTCATGGTTTCCTTTTGAGGAACAGTGGGAGCCATGGCAAGGAGGGCTGTTGCACAGCTTTCTGTTGTGCTCCAATTGTGCCCTTTCATGGAACTGAAGGCATTGCACACAGTTTTGCTTTGGTCACCTTCAGGTTTTATAACTGCAATGTGCTGTACATGGCGCTGCCCTTAAAGAACATAAATAAGCTGCACTTATTTCAGATTACAGTGGCATAGGCAATTATAGTGTTTCAAGTTGTTTTGTGAGCTGCACTTGCTCTCAATAGCTTCTGGATCCAATTCAAGGTGCTGATTTCACTATATAGTGTTTTGTGGCATGGAGCCAGGATATTGGAGGGGCCACCTCTCAGTTTTCCCTCTCCCTGTTAGATACAGCAGGAGGGATGGTTCTGGTTCCTGTTGATTTAAGAATGCCATCTAGCAAGCCCCTTTTCTATCATGACACCTGGCTTTGCCACATGTGAGATTGGATTGAATGCTGCTGACCTTACAGAAAGGTCTTAAGAGCTGGAAGTTCTCCCAAGGATGGGGTTTGGAAAGTTTGTGGAATCTGAATAGTCTGTTGTTATTGTTGAGAAATTATCTTTTGGGTACTATAATTATTTTTTTTGCTTTGATTATGTCTGAATTGTTTTGATATTTGTAGTCTGTTAAGCACCTCCTAGAAAATAATTTTGGGGGTGAAATGAAGCCACCTTGAAGTGTTTTAGAAATACAGAGTCTCTTGAAGTTGAATTCTCCTAATGACTTCATGGACAGACAGTGAAAAAAAGTAAAGATAGCTTCACCTTAAGGTCAGTTCCTTATAACAAGGATACAACCATGCTGGGGAGTTTTGGCAACCACACAGAAGTGCTTTGCCATTGGCTTTTTCCTGGGATGTGTTGAGTTTGCAGTCTGCAGTACTCACAGTGCACTTCTCTTTTCCAAATACTTATCAGTGAAGTCCAGCCCTGCTTAGCTATAGAGTTCAGGCACAATCGATCAAGTGCTGCCAAAGATAAATATGTTTCTTGTTTGCATCTAGAACGTCAACTTTTAAGAAAGTTCAGATATAAATATAACAACAATAATGAAAAAGTATAGGGAAGCATGCAGAACACACAAATTTTGTGGAAATTGCTGTTGTAGCTGTTGGACCTAAATACATCTGTGTGGGAGGAAGGGCAAGGAGCAGCTATCTGGGCAATATTGTTACATCTCATCCCACAGCTGGAAGGCTGGATGCTTGGATATTTCCTAATGTTAAAAGTGAGGTTTCTGAAAATGTGTTCAAATCTAAAGTATTTGTGTTTGGAACTAATGCACATATATTCACTGGTTATATACAAAACCTTGTAGATTAATTTATTTTCAAGTTAATTGGCTACATAAAATTTCTGCATTTCCCCCATAGTTTTACTTCCTATGTTAAGGCAGGCACCTTAGTTTACAGCAGTGATTCTCAACCTTAAAGACTTTTAAATTAATGGACTTCAATTCCCAGAATTCCCCTGTAAACATAGCTGGCTGGAGAATTCTGGGAGTTGAAGTCCCCCCATCTTAAATTGGCAGAGATTGAGAAACATTGGTTTACAGTAAGCCTGTTAATTCTAAGAAGAGAGTTTGGTGTAACACACGATTTCTGTCAATGTTACATAACCAAATAATGCCTACATTCCCTGTTCATTTGGGTATGAAGCGGAAGAAATATGTGTTTCCTGGATGAATGCAACCACTTTTTAATTACTTTATATAAGTAATGCCTTACGGGAGTTTCAACATCTGGGCATGAGACTACAACCATTAAGGGCTTTTAAAAATCTCTGCCATGTGGAAGAAATTGAAATGAACATGTAGTATGCTGTTATAAAAATATATATGAAAATAATTCCACTGATGTTAATTTATTGCATTTGGATACTATTTTCTGCATGTTGCTCAGAAAAACCATTTTGGTTTTCCTGTTTGTGCTAAGATGTGGGTTATGAACTCCCTCTCTCATCAGTTTGTTATTACAACAGAACAATATATCCCGCACAATTGCAAAGACAAAGTGCTTACAATGATAAAATACATAATAAATATCAAATGTTCATTTTCATTACCTTAAAAATGTAAAGCTAGAATAAAAAATCAACAAGAAAGAGAGGGTTCATTACCACTACTGTACCTGAACACTTGTTGGAATAGAGCCATTTTTATTACTTCATGAAAAGCCAACTGAGCAACATTCAAATGAATCTCTCGAGTTCTGTATTGGGGGTATCATTAAAAAGGGCTATTTCCTGGTTACCATTCCTTAATTGCTTAGGTGGGGACTCTAGGCATGCCCTTCTTAACTGATGGTCCTGAAGATAAATGGGAGCTGAACCAAGTAGGTCTTCATAGTTTACCACCAACATTTTGGATTGGACTCAGACATTGGTATTATGACTGTATCATAAGTGTTGCATCACTACAGTGGCTCACCTGCATTATCCATGCTGCTGTATTTGGAATATAAAACCCAGTTGTGGGATAGTTTTCAAGGCAAACTCAGGCAAAGTGTGTAATGTTACAGTTGTAAGGACTTCTGGATCCAAAAGGCAGGAATTGTAAAAGGATGGTGACAAGGACCTAGCACAGAACAAAGTTCAGGAAAACACACACTGCAAATCTTTGGGGAGTGTGACCCTTTCCAGAGCTAAAAGGAATTGAAATAGAGCCAGATTATTTTATTATCAACATTTCTGGAGTGTTCCCCAGCATCAGCAAACATGGAGCAATCTCATTTAGTTCTCATGTTGTGTATGAGTTCCAGACCTTACCAAATCGTGTAACAGCTGGCTTGCTGGGGAAATTCTCAAGTACTTTCAGAATGCTCAAAAGATTTCAGTTTTAAAGCCGTACAGGTAGTCCTCAACTTACAACCACAATTGGGACCAGAATTCCTGTTGCTAAGCAAGATGGTTAAGTAGTGGGCCTATCTGGATTAGGAAGCCCTAGTTACAGTGATTTGTGTTCTTTTTGTCACTTAGAGAACTGTAACAAACTCTTATGGAGCTATCTGTGAAAACGATTAAGAAACTACAGTCAGTAGAAAAGACAGAGTTTCAGTTGTACTTTAACCTTTGTGCTTGTTTTTGAGGTGGATACTCATTTTATTTGCAATTATTTGATACATCTTTTGATGTATTTTTATTTTGTGAAATATCTGGAGTCAGTTTTGAACTGGCTATACTTTAAATCAACCAACCAGCAAGCAGACAACTTGACAGCTGCCAAACAACTGGCAAGGAGTTTTTAGGGGCAGAGATTCCAAAATTAGGTTGTCATGAAATTTTCCACAGAACTGAACATCCTTCTTTTTATATACTGTTCCCATACTACCACTGCTATATAAGAGATAAGAAGTCTTGGGTGGTATACATATTAATTAATTAATACATTAATATTCCTTGAATGCTTGTAATTAATATTCCTTAAATAGCTATTTAATATTAATATACTCTCCTGAATCTTTAATTGTGTCATAAGTGTAGTTTAATTATTAGATGCTTTGATGACTTACTTCCTTGCACACCATAAAAAACGTGACTAAATTTGTCTACAAGCCTAGGCCTTGCTTTACCTTTTAAAAATTAAGTGATAGTTATAATATCAACCTTGCCTTTGCTGAGTACTTTCCATCCAAATTCCTTGAAGTTCTTTAGAAGCATTCCAGAACCGATTTCTTTGAAGTATTCTAGAAGCATTAAAGAAACACTCCGATTATCTGACTTCAACTTCCATAATACAATCCAATAACCTTTGACTGCTGTTTGGGGTTTATTGGACTTGTAGTCCAATATTCCTGGAGAATACTAGTTTATAGTATAAACTAAAGGGGGGGATAAATATATAGATAGAATGTCAAGATCTATATTGCTGTCACAGAAGTTGAAGTTACATGAATATTATCACTTAAGATATTTACCTCCACATTTGTCAGATAGGATTTTGCTACAGCTGTTGGCATGCTAACTGTATACCAGTAGTTATTCCCCCATCTCACAGAAATAGAAGATTATTTTTAAATTGAAAGAGGTATATTTTAGCATGTGCACAAGCATGATTAATTTTGCCACTGTTTCCTTAGTTCTAATTGCAGTTTGGAGAAGCAGGCAGATATAAATAATTGGCCTCAATTTTTCTTTCAAAATCTAGAAATCTATTGATTTTGTTTCGATATCACAATGATTTCAGTGATTACCGTAGTTGCTTTTCTGCTAAAGGAAGAGGAGCTGGACAGATCCATGTCAGGTAAAGGACTCGGGAGAGCTTATTAAGGAGACTGGTGGATGGTGTGGAAAGAACTCCAGCATCAGTGAACTGAATTTCCCGTTTCCCTTCCTCCCAGTACTTTAGCCATTTGAGTTAGAAATTGTCCATGTGTAATACTGGTATGCCAAATTACTCAAATGGGACATGCTTTTGTCTGCTGGCTTCTTCCTTTCTTTCCAAAGGCACCTTATGCAATGTTCACAACCCCCGCCCCCCCCTCAAATTCTAGCAGTTCACAGATGACTCAGCTAACATACATAGTCACAAAAAGCTCCCAAAGTAATTTAATTAAATGTGGGATGGCAATACCTGCAATGCTAAGCTTTTACTGAATGCCCATGATCTGACTAACCCTGTGGTTTGATCTCAGAAGCCACATTCCATAGGGTGACCACAGAAGCTTTGAGGATAATTTTCCCAGTATGAGAAGGAAGAAAACCAAACCCATATCTAAATATGCTTTCAGAAATGCTGGATAATTTTCTTATCAAATAAATCTTGGTGTATTTTGTCTGTGTGAAAATCAGGTAGTATTTCTGGAGAGAAACACAGAAACAAGTGCTGATTCAGAGAGAAAAATGTTAATGAATTCTATGAAAACAAATTTAAAATTACCCCCTGTCTACCATTAAGTTGGCTCTTTAAAAAGGACATAGAAGCAATAAATGAAAAACAGAGTTCAAGCCAATCCAAAGATTGTTCACTATGGGTGTATTGCAAATGTTTCAGCTACTACTGGTATATGTGATCTACCAGACTAAATGAATTCCAGGTTCATTTAGAGGATAGGGTTGGGTAGGGTAGGATAGGATAGAATATAACCTTCATTGTCACTTTTTCCAGTGAACACACTGGCACACACAAAATGAAATTATGATGCCTGGATAGAAGGGAGTAAACTTCCAGTAATCTTTTCTGTCATCCTCACCACTCTGCACAGCCTTCCTGCCGAAACAGTAATATTTCCAAACCATGCAGTAATACAATATGAAGGATACTTTCAATCATCCCTCTATAGAAAGTGGTAAGGACAGGGGGCAGAAGATGTGCTCTTCTCATATGACACAGAGAATGCAGGTGCTTCTGTGTCCACTTCATCAGTGTCTCACTGTTAAGCAACCAAGCTAACACCCAGACACTTGATACTACTAATCACCTCCACAGTTGAATCGTTAGTACACAGAGGTGTATAGCTGTGCCTGCCTGTTTTGGAAATCAACAATTATCTCTTTTGGCTTTCCTACATTTAAAACCAGGCTGTTTTATTACACTAGTTCATCAACTCCTCTATCTCCTCCAGATAATCACCCTCATTATCATCCTGAATAAGACTCACCACTGTTGTATCATCTGCATACTTCACAATATGGTTGTAGCAAAACTTGTGCAACAGTCATGGGTCAGACAGAGAACTACAGCAGACTTAGGATGCAGCCCTGAGAAGAACCTGTGCTTAAGAACATGGAGGTAGAAATATTAGTCCCAACTTGCACATACTAGGGCCTGTCAGTGAAAAAATCAGGAATCCAGTTGTACAAAGGAGTACTGAAGCATAAAAGGCGCAGCTTATCTATTAAATGCTGAGGAATGGTCGTATTAAATGTCGAACTAAAGTTGACAAACAGCATTTGCATACAAGTATTTTTTTCCTTTTAAGTGCGCCAAGGTCAGATGGAGAACAGAGGAAATAGCATCCTCTACAGAGCAATTTGGTCAGCAAGCAAACTGAAGTGAGTCAAACGCTGGAGGGAGGCTCGACAATAAAGTTCTTTTTCAGCCTTTCAAAACATTTCATAACAATGGACGATAACCATTAAGACCTGTTAATTATGTTTGCCTTATGCCTTTATTGTACTCTGCCTTTCAGTGACTTTTGTCAAACATTACTTTTCAGAAGAATAAGATGTAAACTATAATTCTATCTATCTTAGCCACTGTTTTAATGGATACCGTTCAGAATTATCAAACCATGAGAGGTTGTTCCGCAAAAGCAGTAGTGGGTTGTTCCCGGTTCTATAGAACTGGTAGTATAAATGGGCGGGAGGCTCCGCCCACCCGCCACGCCATCATCATGGGTGATCTGCGCATGCACAGAAGCGCACATACTCCTGCTGCGAACCGGTAGTAAAGGTAAGTAGAACTCACTCCTGCACAGAAAGATGAACGATTAACAATTACCATGTGAACTGCGAATCTAAATCACATTGTTAACAAATTATTGCTACATGTGGAGTAAAAATATTTTAGTGTGGTTGTATTAAGCAAAATGATCTGTTGTATGGTATTGCATTTCATAAGATATTATGGTAATGCATTTACATTATTTATAAATTATCTTTAAAAGAAGAACAACTTAAAGACCACATCCATTAATCAACATGGACTTAAAATACAAATAAAATAAATATAAAATCAATTTTTTAAAAATCTCCAAACAAAGGAATGCCAATAAAAAACTAGAAATAGCAATAAAAATAACCAGGCCATTAAATTGGTACAGTAAAAGTTATACAATTATTGCAGATAAGCCTAATGATTAGGATCTCAATAAACCCCTTCTCCAAAGCCCCATGAAAAACAGAGGAATCCTTAGGTATATTTAAAATCCCTAAAGGAACAGGTTTAACATATCTCAGCTGGTACCACATTCAGAAAGAAGGATAGCATAAAGAATTACTATCAAGTCAATGGTCAGATAAGAGGAATTAGAGCCTGCGCCAGGAAAGTAGCTTGAGAAAGCCCCTTCCTAGTTTACATGAAGTGGCGGGGGAGGGGGGGACACATCCAGACTTGCTAGATTTTGTTATTATACCTGCTACAATAAAAGTAATCCTGTTGTTGTTAGACACGAAGTCGTGTCCGACCCATCGTGACCCCATGGACAACGTTCCTCCAGGCCTTCCTGTCCTCTACCATCCCCCGGAGTCCATTTAAGCTCACACCAACTGTTTCAGTGACTCCATCCAGCCACCTCAATCTGTGTCGTCCCCATCTTCTTTTGCCCTCAATCTTTCCCAGCATTAGGCTTGTTACAATTGAAAATACCTAGCCTGTTTTCTGTAAATATGTATATTTGTAGATATGTTATTGTGTGATGTCACTATGCTCCTTGCCATTGGTCCCTACTTACCTTTTGCCCTGCCTCCTCTGTATATAAGTTGTTGCTCCTGTCAGAACTCCTGTTGTCCAAATGTAATCCTGAGGAAGACAAGAAATAAATAAATACCTTTGTTATAAGAAAGCCTTCAGTCTATTATATTGGGCCTAACCAGAATAATCAAATAAGTAACAAGGCTCTTCTCCAGTGAGTCCTTCCTTCTCATTAGGTGGCCAAAGTATTTGAGTTTCATCTTCAGGACCTGGCCTTCTAAAGAGCAGTTGGGGTTGATCTCTTACTTTTTTGGATCACAATTCATCCACATATTTGTACAGTTTATGCCAAGGGAGGATTTTCTTGCTCTTAGTTGTTCACTTCTCTGGCCCTCTTGGAGAACTTCAGCTATCCTCTCCAAGAATTTTAATCTTTTATTATATACTTTATACTCTCTCCTCAAATCCTTTCATCTTCTTTCCAACAAGAACACAAGTTTGCACTTGTTTATAATTTGCTACTTCTACTGTCAGGAAACCAAATATTGTCCATAATCAGGTCATACTGTTGCTTGAATACTCCCTGCCTATTCCCCTAACTAAATCAGTATGTAAATCTACCCTCCTTTCTTGCACTTGCTATGGGCTTCCATGGTCTGCCTCTTTACGTCTGAATGAAGACGATGGAAGAGGACGTGAAAAAAGGCAAAAAGAAAAAACAAAACCCTCCATTGCCAAACGCCTGTTTAATTCCCTACTTGGTAGCTTAGTTGTTGCAGGATCACTTGTAATAAACTTGCAACAAGTGGAACTTATCACAAAATGATGTTCTGTAGTGTGGCCCATGTTCCATGCTTTTTTCCCATTACTATTACTTTCAATTATATAAGGGTTGCCATGTAGAACTGAGCTCAATTCACTACTGTGAATATGGTGAAGAAAGCATACGTTTGTTATGGTAGTCATAGTAAGATTCATGCTACCTGAGGAGGTCTGAGGTCTGAGAGTTGAGTCTTAATCGATATAGTGAACACCAGGTTGGAAAAGACTGTATAGGGATGATCATTACCAAGTTAGTTAGATTCTATATAATAATAATTATGTTATTGACAATCATTTCACATTCCTATGACTATACCGATTTTCTCTTTTGGAAAGCTGCAAGATCCAGTTTTCTGCATTTTTCATACAATGTTCTGAAATGTATGTAAATTCCATGTCTTGTCTCTTTCCTGCACCACTCTTTGCCTAGATGACTTTGTAGGTACAATAGTTGGTTGTTTAGTTCAAATGGTCTACAAGAGATAAAGATATTACGGTTAAGAGTAGGACATATTGTCTTTGTTGGACTAGGGCATTTCCAGAGAATACTTTTATTGCAGTCATGTTCTTTTATTAATCTGATTAAATCTCACTGAAGACAGAATGCTAAACTACTGTAAAGGGACCTTTGGCCTGATCCAACAAGGCAATAAAGTTCTATCCTGGAGAGAAGATTAGCTCTGGCATTGTTGATCACAGGGCAGGTTGGGCTACTATAGGTTTGTGATGTAGTAACTGCTATAAATCTCTCTGGGTGCAGAGAACATGACACCATTGCACTGATTTTACCTTTTAATGATTGCAGTAGTAGATGATCCTCTGGTAACACTTCTTAGAACACAATATGGAAAAGTGGGTCAGAATTTTTTTCACACTGTTTGTGACTCCAACTATAGGTGGCTACTGAACTGCATAATTACTTACATATGACCTTACTTGGATTGGTTCCGAAAAAATTAATACTTGTCTATTATTATATTGTGTTCTACCAAGGCCATTCAGAAGACATGCCAAGAGAGCCACTTACCTGAGTTTTAATCTCAAAGGGGAGCTCAGATTTAATTTCTTTTAACTCAAAATATTTAAATTGCATATCAGTCTTTTTGGTACCTTAAATTATATTTTCATATGCCATCATTATTCATTTTTTACTATGGTTATTGGGCCCAAAACATGGAAAAGGGCCAAGCCCTTGCTGAATTTCTGAGAGTTCTTGGTCTCATTATAAAATAACTAAGTAAGCGTTGGAGCCCAGTTTGGGCACAAACTCTTTAAATGTGGAATGACTATACTATAAACATCAGATTTAAATGCATTTTTAGACTTGGAGTATACTGCTTAAAGAAAATAGAATGCAAAAAATAAATAACGTTCAATTGTTTAGATAACTTGGATTTATTTCATTATGAATGAAAGCTTATATTTAAAACAGTAAATATGGACAGTTATTCAGAATGAAATGAATGAGACTTTTAATCGCAGACTGCTTATGAAATTCTTTTATGACAAGATTAAACAAGTGCAGGGAAGAGAAAGCTTGCCTATTCAGGAGATAGTGAAATAATTGTTTTCAGTGGTGAGCCATAATGATTTGGCACTAGGTAGGCCTTGTGAAAAAAAAAACAAGATGGAAAATTTAGAAGTTACCTTAAGAAGGATGTTGTGTGGCTTTATGGATTTTCTGGGAGATATTTTCTCATGCATATTATATAAGTCAAAGAAATAAATTTAACTATAACTGTTAGGAAAAAAGAGTACACAAAGAGCTATAATATTATACGGATCAGCAAGGTGTTTTATAGATAGAAGTCTGCTAGTCAAATAAGCAAAAAAAAAATGGTGGTTTTTGTCCAGTGGTGAAGTCTAAAATTTGTTACTACTGGTTCTGTGGGCGTGGCTTGGTGGGGGGGTAATGTGACTGGGTGGGCATGGCCTTTTTTTTTTAATTTTTAAACCGTTTTTTCTACAACCTCTTCAGCGAAGAGGTTGTAAAAAAATGCTTTCAAAAGGCTCTGACGATCCCAGCTGAGTTGCCTGATTGGCAGAGGCTTTTTTTCTTTTAAAAGCCTCTGCCGATCAGGCAACTCAGTTTAGATTGTCAGAGGCATTTAAAAGAAAAAAAGCCTCTGCCAATCAGGCAACTCAGCTTGGATCGTTAGAGGCTTTAAAAGCCTCTGACAATCCCAACTGAGCTGCACGATCATCAGAGGCTTTTTTTTTTTGCTTTTAAAAGCATTTTTTTGGCCAAAGAGATTGTAGAAAAAATGCTTTTAAATTTTTTTAAAAAAAGTCTCTGATGATTGTGCGGCTCAGTTGGGCATGGGGTGTGTATGGTGGCAGGGATTTTTGCTACCGGTTCTCCAAACCACCTGCCTCCATTGCTACCGGATCGGGCGATCCGGTCTGAACCAGGAGCATTTCACCCCTGGTTTTGTCTGGTGAAGACCTTTTTTTTAATCAAAGAGTTCATGGCACTGATTGCATCTGGGGGACTTTACATGCAAGAATATTTGTAGGGGAATTCAAAAAATCAAGATGGTGCAATATGCCAAGAAAAAAAAAAAGCAGGGTTTTGACTCTATTGTAGCTGCCATCTTGAAACCCCCCCCCCCAAAAAAGTGGACACATCTGTTTATAAGGCATTAACAAATTTCATAAGTAGATCTTTTCCTATAAACTTGTAGCATTTTAGGAGTAATTGTAAAAAGAAAAATAATATATTTCAGTAGCAGTCTCTGCTACTGAACAAAAGAAACATTTTTATTCACCTTGGCATTTGGCATGATACCCTAGTTCAGCTCTACTTATGTCTGACTAGAGAAATTACTTATGTCTTCATAGAGTAATTATGTGCAGAGTTTTTGGAAATGAATACGTACTCAGAACACAATTCTTTGAGTCACAATTGGCGAATAATTTGTAAATGCGTTCCTGCAATGGATCCTGGTCAGAAACACTAATCTGTTACTTTCCATTTCTGCTAGTGCAGTTTCGTTTCTCTTGTGTCTTGATGAACATCTAGCATGTGAGATGTATTTCTCACAATTCTCAAATATGAACAGATTAATAATTTGTCATAATTTTACAAAAAAAACCTACTTGTTTTTTTCCCCTTGTCTGGCTATGTTTCGAGAGAATTGCGAACAATGGAACATTGTCTCCCTTTTCCTCTATTCTAACAGAAAAGCAAACAAAAGTTTTCACATCTTCCAGTTTCCAAACAAGCAAAATGTCACTGCTAGCCAGGGGTGAAATCCAGCAGGTTCTGACAGGTAGCAGAAATTTTGAGTAGTTCGGAGAACTGGCAAATACCACCTCTGGCTGGTCCCAGAGTGGGGTGGGAATGGAGATTTTGCAGTATCCTTCCCCTGGAGTGGGGTGGAAATGGAGATTTTGCAGTATCCTTCCCCTGCCATGCCCACCAAGCCACACCACGCCCACCAAGCCACGCCCACAGAACCGGTAGTAAAAAAATTTGGATTTCACCACTGCTGCTAGCATCTCATATCCTGACTTTCCTCTTCTTTATTGATTAGATGTGCTATGGGATATGTTTGCTGTGGCCTATTGGTAGATGAAACTGAATGATTATATGGAACATAAACATATGATATGAATCATGTGGTATCCCTTGTGACAAAATGTGCTGATTCCAGACCATCATGGTATTTTTATTGATTTAGTGGTCATAGAAAATACTTCTGGCCAAGCACTGGAATCTGGCTGAGGCCTCTCTCATGGGAAATGATCCTACTGCTCTGATCCATTTTAGTCAGATCTATTAATGACATGGAGATACTGTAATCTTTGAGTTTGCAAGCTAAAAGAAGCCAAATATCATATTAAGAATTTCCTCCTCAGACTAATTATCCAGTTCTTTTCTTACTACTGTAGGTAATTTAGTGCCCTCCAGTTGTTGTTCTGACCCAGCCTTAGCAGAAGCAAGAAACAGACTCCTTGTCATGGGAAACCCCTCTTTATTTATTATCTTGTGAATTAATCGCATTCACCCACCGAAAAGTTCAGGCAATAGTCCTTCAAGGAGTTAACTGCAGTAACAGACATTATCAGTTCCTTGC